TGACTTTTGGACCGGCTTCTTTGACCTCCCGTTTTTGGATCCCTTGGATGTTATTGTTTGCCGGCATTGAACCTGGACTGTTATTGATTTGGATTGTTACTTGGACTATTGTAGTGTCTGTGTCTCCTGTGCCTTACCAACAGACTAGCCTTGTCTGGCCTTATAATAGAGTCTGCCCTTTACCTTGTTGGTATTTTACCGGCCAACCCTGACACACTTAGATTGAGAATATGTGGTCAGACTATCCAGGTAATGCCAATTTAGAATTTGTTTTGAAGTTGTCATAGACATATACAGTGTACACATACTGTCTGGTTGTGAGTGCTCATTATCTGACCCAGCTAGCTCCATTAGCAGGCAGCTACATCTCATTAAGAGCACAGTAGTCTGTCAGCAAGGACGCCAGTTGTCCAGCTTGGCATTGTAGCCGCCTTTCCACTGTCAGAACCCTGTGCTTCCCTTACCTGTCACCAAGCATAACCTCATTGGTTGACGCAGACCGTCTTACTTTGTGTCACTGAATTTTTCTTTGTATTGGTCTTGAGGGGCTGACCTCCTCCGCTAACAGACTGTATGAGCAGTTTATGAAACAGCTGTTGAACAAGTAGAACACAGGCTTGTAGACATGTGACATTTTTGCCACTTTTCCTGCGGTCCACTCACTGAAGTTTGTTTTACCTCTAAACCAATTATATGTTTTCTTGAGTGCTTGCTCAAGGGGAATTTGTTGGGTTTTCCCTGTAATACTGTACAGTCTAGACCACACTATGCCCTTGCTGTTGTGAATTGATGCCATAGCCTACAAATAAAATTAAATTGAATAATTTTCAAACTAATAAAAATATCAGCATAATTTCAAATGCCAGCAGTAGGTTTTCATGGTTAAGCATATGAGGTCATATATAGGGGTCAAACTATTATGGGAATATTTCTTTTATGGCATTATGGGGAAACTGAGTTGCCCTTGGTGGAGGTTTAACTCTCTGTTTACTCTATAGGATCCTTCTCAGTTACAGCCATCTGACAGCACAGTTTCATCTGTGCTCATTATCTCTCCTGGCTCCGGAGGTCAAAAGGCCAGACATTACAGTCTGCTGTCATTCCAAACGGTAAACAGGAGGTCTGCCGAGGTGCCAATTTCATGCTAAGTGACACCACTGAGGCATAAACATGACTTGATACCAGTGCCTTCTGTTTTTTTGTCCCCAAGGAAATGAATCTTGTAGCAGCTGCTATAGAAACGTGTGCACATTACTGTACTGCATAGAGGTTTAGGTTTGTGGCATTAGGTTTTGTGCCTATTATTGACTTTTCCAATACAACATCTGTCAATAAAACATCTGTCAGATGAAGAAGCAGTTTTACAATTCTTTTATTTCATTTCATTGTAGCCTTTATTACCTTCCTGTCAATGGCAGATAAGGAAACTTAGATTTAGAAGTCAATAACAGGAAGAGCTGTCAGTGGTACAAAGCCAGTGAAAGTTGATTAGCACAGGAAGGTACCACTTTCCTATCACATTAATTGCTAGCCCAGTGCAGAGATGAGCAGTTAAGCATTAGCTTAGCAAAGCAAAACAAACCAAGCAGTCTATTTTTCCCAAAGGAGCGAGTTAAGCTAAGGCAAGTGCTCACATAGCATTTTCCAACTCGGTTCACAAAGTGAACAGTTTTCAGGAAGTCATTAAATGGGAAGGTGGGACAGGATTTAATTGACACACTGTTAAAATGTTCTTGACATGTTTAATCACCGTTTTGTGCGACTGCAGTGGCTGAGCACTGACAGCTGACAAGAGCCATATGTTTGGCTGATGATCTGAGAATGAGTCAGCATAACAGTACCTTACATGAGGCGTGTTATGTTGAAATCTGTAGTGTAAGAGTAGTGAGTAGTGTACAGTACAAAGGTCATCGGTATTTCCACAGTCCTGATGAAGCAGATTAGTTTCAGTTTTTTGGTTCTATGCTCTTAATAAAAGACACCCAGCATGTAATCAAGAACATTTAAACACATAGAGACATACCTAAGATTTGAAACAAAGGTTTAGAGGCTTTAAGATGTTATGAAAGGTTGTGGTTGTTGCAGATGAGGTATGCTTCTGGTATGAAAGCTAAAATTCCATGTTATGTTAAGGAAGGGACATGGCTATGGTTAATTCAAATGCAGACCAGTGATGGGATGTTTTCTACTCCAGTTAGTAAGTCAAAAAGTAGGATATAATAATGGATTTAGAGATCCCATGGGCTGTTCTCTTTAGAAAGCTATTCTGTCTGTAAGATAATAAGATTCTTTCTTAATTTCACCAACTTCTGTTGTGAGTAGATTAACACCCCCTGTTTCAGATGAACATGTACCTATCAAGTTATGGTTTGATAGAACATAATTTTAGAGGTACAACCTTACTCTACATTGCCCCAGGCAGTTACTGCAACCTTACAAGCTGCACATATTAAAGATTTTTTGAGGATCTCAAATTAAGACTCAAACATCAGATTTGTGCTACATTGCAAAATGTAAGGAAATAAATGTTGTCTCCCTTTGCTCTTGGAATTATTATATTTGCATATTCAGGCAAGTACTATACATGTGTACTACATACAGTATATGTATTTACACATCTGAGGATTTGAAGTTTAGTTTTGTGTCACAGAGTATGTGTACCTCAGATAAATCCACTGTAAATACAGTTCTGTTAAAATCCTAACATTAGTTTACAAGGACCAGTAAGGTGTTCTGTACAACCTCTGCTCTGCACAGGGTCTCTCCTGCCAAACTTTCATTTACAGTTGAAGGTGGAAAAATAAGTAGTGATGTGTGTGTGTGTAGTATGTGTGCAATGCATCACTGTAAGGTTAATAACAGTTCTCCTACAAGGCTTCTCTCTTCTTCATTCAGCTTGTCTTCTCTTCTAAAATCACTCCAATCATCTCTTGTCTATGGAGGTCACTCTCCCCCCAGCCCCACTGCCTTCAGTAGTCCTTCCCTGCTCTCCCACTCATTCTTCAGTGCTTCTCACAAAATCAAAGTGTGTGGTAGCTCCTCTTTGTGACCCTTCATTGGGCAGGCAAGTAGGTAAAACAGGAAGCCTGGACCATTTTGTTATGTATTCTAAAGCTGGTCTCTCTCTCCTCGAACCTCTGCCCAGATACTAGCTAAAGGGTTTTATTCATCTCTCATGAACCCCTTCCTACTACAGCCTAGCTAAATAATTCCATGAAACACTGCACATTTAGTATTACACGTGTTTCAAAGTCACACAAGTTCTATAGACCTAAAAGGAGAAAAGACCCACTGTAGGAGGGCAGTGTGTGAGAGCGCTGAATCTTAGCCACTAGTCCATCAGGGACTGTTGTATATTTGGATGCTAATATTTAAGTAAACATTTGAAAGCAGGACTTTTAATTGTAACAGTATATTTGTACACTGTGGTACTGCAGTTTGACTTAAGTAAAGGATCTGAGTACCTCTTCAACCACTGCCTCCAGAACATATTATTTTTGAAAACAGACAATATGGTAGTGACCAGTAATTAAGCTGAGACAATACCGTGAGCTGTATAACCTGCAAGGTGAAACCTGGAGCAAAAGCAATAAGTATTCTCTTATAATGGATACTCATCTTCCCATTTTTGCAGCTATATTATTTATGTGATGGTGCTGCATGTCTGGCAGCGAGTGCCTGACTGACAGTAATAGTGCTTCATAAAGAGGTGTATCATTTACAACTTGTAGAAGGCTCCTGTTAACCTGCTAGCCAGGCTAACTCCAGCAACCTTTTTGTCACAATGTCACAAGTACACTTGTCCCTGTCAGCTCTGCTCTGACTCAGCATACTCCCAACATAGTAAACCAGCTCCCCTCTTTCAGATTGTAACTCCCTTACTGTGTCCAATAAAGTAAAACTGACTCTCTCATCCATTCACACAGGAACAAATCACCATAACATCTTTTAGCCCGTATGTGTTCGTCAGTGTCTTCAGACCGTCTATGGGTTGAGGAGGAAAGGCACTGCAGCGACTGTGTGCTATAGTGGCTTTTTGTTGAGCTTTTATTTTATTTTATCATTCACAAATGTTAACCAAAATTGCAATATTTAGGGGCTGAATTATTCAATTTAATATACTCATTTAGAAAATATTGTTAATATATTATTATTATATTAAGCTTTCATCTGCTGCATTGACAACAAAGACATATCTCAGTGAAAACATGTTTTTGCCTCAGCAGAAATGTATTTTATTGAACCAAAGCTTATGTCATGAAAGTATCAGTATCAGGACAGCATGTTGGTAAGACTCCATTTGTTCTAGAGCAGCGATGGTCCCAATAATCAACATAGTGTGTGCACCTCTTCTCAAAAAGCCTCCTCACTTGGGTATTCAGATGGAGCTGAGCTATTATCCCCCTGCAGTCCTCTGAGGCCCTGCATGGTCTCCGGCCCTGTGCATTATAGCAGATCGCTTTATGCTGTGGCTCAAGTTACACGGTGGCTGTTCCTCAAAGTGCTCATCGGTATCGCTTTCACGGCCATATTGTTAAACAGTTCAGTAAGCTCAGGGTGTTTGAGGGAGCTTTACACAGATTCAGTGGGAAAGCCATGGAAGTTGCTAATAGACAAACACAGTGACAACATGTCCTACTACTGAAGGTCCACAGGTCACATCAATGTACTGAATGGGGAGGATGTGTGATGCTGAAAGCCTCAGGTCAGCTTCCATCTCACTAACACCCTCCTTTCTATTTTCCAGCATTTTTTTCTATTAAAATCTGACTCTCGGTGTCATTTTCGGCATTACTGTATTGCAAGAGAAATCTTATCTCGCTCAAACACACCCACAAGCACATACAGCATCTTTCTCTCTCTCTCACACACACACACACACACAGGCAGATATTCAAACAAGCCTAGACACACATTTACATATGCAGACACGCTTATTCAGCTAATGACTGTGCCTGTGTGAGTCTCTGGTTAATGACTAGGTTTGTTCTCCTCTGCAGATGCCGGCTCAGGATCAGGAGACGATGGTAAGATTACTCACCACCTCCTCCTCCTCCTCCTCCTCTATCTCCACATGCATTGCTTTTAAATATGTTTCTTTATGTTCATTGTCTTTGGCCACTGAAATTAGTTTTGCTGCAGCATTTTGTGAATACTTTAAGGTCCAAATACAACCAAAACACATCCAAATGTGAGCATAATTAATTTACCCCACATTTTAGAATAATTTCTTTCATAACTTTGCTCGCTCATACATCGTTTTTTTTTTTTGTCTGCAACAGAGACAATGCTAAAAATTCACTATACACTACCTACTAAGCAGCAAACATCAGAGGGACATGAGCAGTGACTAGCTGGGGAATATGGAACAATTACTGTAGCAGGTAAAGAGCCAGATATTTCCCATAGGAACTGGTAGAGACCAAATATCAAACAAAAAAGAGAATACTGGACTTGCTTTCAATAGGTGCAAACAAAAATGGCTAAAAATGTTTTTCCATATGTGTAAATGTTTGCTGACATGTGCAGTTAAGCACTGTTAGCATTCTGAGCATTTCCATTCCCTTAGGTTTGTAAATTAAACTTTAATCTGTAAAACTGTCTCAGCATCAACACTGGGTATATCCATATCACTACATATTTGATTGGCTTTATTAACTATATTAATTCTAATGTTATCAATTTAATTACATTTTAATTAATTTGATTAATTTTGTCACTTTCATCCTCACATGATAATGCAACAGGAAACAGGACATGTTCACAAAAAAAGTAAAACAAATCAGCCAAGTGATCTTGATTACATCATAATCAGAGTTGTGAAAATGTTGTTTTGTTTACAGCTACTGCCTCTAACAGAACATTTTACAACATAATACATTTTTGTGATGGATTTTCCATCCCATCATTTGCAATTCTCTGCAAGCTTATTTTCATACCAACATAGGATTTATGCCCTGGAAGGCAGGGAATTATTTGGAAAAAAGAAAACAGAAAGTACAGTTTGCTTTGGAAAGTAGTCAGCAATTACATATGTTTGTGTGCACAGTTGAGGCTTTTCACTACAATTTGCAACATTATTGGAACAGTCTTGTTGAATCCCTAATCTCAAATGGATTAATTTGACTAAGGTTTCTTGTCTTGTACAATGTTGAGTCCCATAATGCAGATCCACTTGCGTAGCTCATATGTACTGTCTCTGCTGAAAAGACTGTCAGGGATAGTTTCTAAAGGACTTGCACAGACTGCAGACAGTGTGAGTTAGGATGACTTTCTTCCATCAGCTTTCTCATTTAGGAGTGTGCCAGTGTTACAGTTTCTCCTTCTCATGCTGCTTAACACCAAGCAGTACCAGTGGCTGTTTCTCAGAATGACTGTGTGGACAACGTCACCATAATAAATGTAGATGCTGAATGAAGATGCGAGTTTGGAGGTGGCGATTAAGTGTGTGTTTACTGTATGAAGATGGAAAAGAGCTTAAGGCTGTGAGTGACATTTATGAATAACTTTTGCAAGTAGCTAACCATGTAAACCCTCCAGCTGATTAATAATGTGTCATTCAACTAAGACTAATTTGTTGCCTAATTGACTACCAAGTCTCAGCTATAATGTCAGCACAGACAGCACAGTCGGCACTCAGACTCATCTGTCAGTGCATGTTTGTATGCATGAATATATTTACAGTATACTAGTCTGCCTCGTCTGTATCTGTCCTGCTGTGTGTTTACCCACGCAGTTCCTCTCTCATGCATGGGGCTTCACCGAGCATATATGAGAGAGATTGGAAAAGAGATTGGGCCCCCCAAAAAGACAGCAGACAGACAGACAGACAACCAAGCGGAAATGAAACCGGTGCTAGGTCAACCAGAGAGAGAGAGGGAGGAAAGCAGTGGTGGTGGACAAAGAAATGGCCTGAGGAAAGTCGCAAAATAGATAACAGAGCTGAGGAAACAGAAGGCGAGTGCAACAGCGATGGAGGGAGAGAGGGAGGGCAGTTAGCGATAAGAAACAGGCACAAGGATGATCAAAATTAAATGTACATTTCCATGTATGTCTTCTGAATGCAATATTCAGAACATTTGCTGTGTTTTATGTTAAATCTTAATGATCTGAAGAGAATCCCTGTGACACACAGTGCAGTCATACTTGGATTATAACATCTGACATGTGCATTAGCATCGTGCTTTGTTCCTGTTCTTGTTAGTGCAGTCAGTAATGGAACATTTGATGGTCCGACTTCGCGCTGTGTTGTGTAGTGTCTCTCAGAAATTTATTGCAGAGCATCTTAATAAATTCCCTGCAACTGTAGAGAAACAAAGCGTTCAGCCAAATGCAGAACAAAAACAGTAATGAAGACAGCATATACCAAGAAAAATAAAAAGATCAATGCAATTTTAATTTAATAAAAAATAACCAAAATACGCACGGTGGCGCAGTGGTTAGCGCCGTTGCCTCACAGCGAGAAGGTTCTGTGTTCGGGCCCCACCTGGGACCTTTCTGTGTGGAGTTTGCATGTTCTCCCCGTGCTTGCGTGGGTTCTCTTCGGGTACTCCGGTTTCCTCCCACAGTCCAAAGACATGCAGCTTAGGTTGATTGGTGTCTCTAAATTGCCCATAGGAGTGCGTGTGTGTGTGTGGTTGTTTGTCTATGTGTTAGCCCTGCGATGGATTGGCGACCTGTCCAGGGTGTACCCTGCCTTCACCCGATTGCTGGCCGGGATTGGCTCCGGCCAACCGCTCCCGACCCCGTTCAGGGACTAAGCGGTAGAAAATGAATGAATGAATAACCAAAATACCTTCTTTCTGAATTTTATTAGCACAAAAATGGTCTTGCAGAAACTCCCATAACAGCAACTGACAGTGATTTCCAAATGATAGCTTTGTAGTCCGAGTTGTGCAGAGCAGTTTCCTCAACATGTTGGCAACACAATAACATAACTCTAACTAAGAGAAGGGTGAATGTTAAGACAAATATCTTAGTGTCTACAGTAACATAACCCAGTGGTAACATCCAAGCAAAGGAGCATTTCTACATTAGTTTATGGGGTTTCAGCATACACTGAAGCCATCAGTGTTAAACATAGTGTTTAAAAAATACGATGAATAATCTGACCTGCTTGTCCAGCTATGTAAACTGGGAACCCAAAAAGGGGTTTGCATGCCCGGATTACCCTTCTAGGGTGTCCCAGGGCCTAAATTTGTTATTAGACCCATACTGAACTGTGTTATAAAAGGCAGGTTCATTATCTCCTGCTGTAGCCAGAAACTGGCCAGCACTCCAAACCTGAAATAACTGAATGATCAGTCAATTAGCTGACAATTAGTTATAGCAGGAAATAATAGCAAAAGTGTTGATTGACCTTCTGATTGTAACTTGATGTATCATTTTAAGTTTTTAAGTATTTTTAATTGAAAGTGTCAGATATTTCCTGATAATAGCTTCTCGAATGTGAATATACTGTATTCTATTTTTCTATGCCAGAAAACTCACAAAACATTTATAACAGAGATGATTAAATACTGTACTGGTTTCAAATTCTACATCAGAATACAAGTAAAACATTATGAGTTTTAAAAAAGTGAGAAATATAAAATGTTTCCTGGGTACTTCAAAATAAGAGTTTAATCCAAATAGGATTTTGCTGTCTGATTTATAATACCCTTTTCATATTTTAAAATACTCTAGGCCACTGCCCACTAAAAACATGTGAAAGTTTTTTCTAAAAATCCCTAAGAAAGCTCATTACTGTGTGAACGTTCACCTTCTCAGACCCCTGGATGGTTTAAAGTACAAGCCTGAGAACTCTGCCTATTCTCAAACTGTCAGATATATTTGACAAATTGATCATTCAGAAAGGAGGGAGGAAAAAAATGGCTTGGGGCAGAGATGGTATTTGTGCAAAATTGGTTCAGAGGGGAAAGAAAAAGGCAAGAACAAGAGGAGGAGAAACACAAACACACTATACAAAGAGAATCATATCAGAGGTCAGAATAGATGGAGAGATACAGTAGAAGAGACAGAGGGGAAGGAGGGGGGCAGCTGGCAGCGGTGAAGAGAGAGCTAGTGTTTTATGAGCAGCAAAGAAGGTTAAAGAAAGTAGTTGTAAAAGGAGCTGGACTCCTCTAGAGGAAACCAGCAGTAGGGAACCATCCCAGTTAGAATCAAATATATTTTTAATGGCCAATGATAAATCTGCATGCATAAAACCTGGGTCAGCCAGATAGTTGCCAGTTTCATTGGCTGTAATGTCTGAATGTGTGTGCAGACCAACCGTAATACATGCATGCGCATTCATGTTTTGTAGTTTTTTTTTTAATCTGATAAATGAGACCACAAGTCAACTGTGCAGGGAGAAGCCCTTAGGACCTGCATCTGGTCACATGGCCCCTTTAGTCAGAATCAGACATTTGTCCAAATCAGATTGTACAGTGGAGAAATTGAATTGCACTCATGATCATAGAAGACCAAAAGGTAAGCAAAGCCTTAAAACAAAATGATTTTTTATGGGGTTTTTAAAGAATTTATTTACTCAGCCAGGTTAGCAGCTCTGCCGGTGTAATGCCCATTGACACCCAGTATAGGAAGCAGTTAGCTGTAAAATAAGTGTCCATGGACAGCCTGTGAAAGGCTGAGGGAGAGAGAGGTTATTGCTGCCTTATCCTCTATCCACTCACCACAACGGTTGAGGCAGAAGGCCACCCACCAAGAGCCGGGGTTCCTTCCGTTAAAGGAGTCTTGTCATCTCCACTGTCACCAATTGCTTGCTCAAGGGGGATTTGCTGGGTTTTACCTGTAAGGTCTAGACCTTACTATGTAAAGTGCTGTAAGATGATTGTTGTGAATTGGCACTATACAAATAAATTGAATTAAACTGAATTGAATTTAAATATCAAATATTATGAAAAACACATATAGCAAATATAGCAAAGTACTGGACAAACTAATATTTTGATGGTAGAGGAGAAAGAAAGAGAAAGTTCAACAAAGTCCAACAAGGTTATGAATGTTTGTATCACGCTGCGTTGAG